CTCTCTCTCCTCTACACTTCTCTCTTCTCCAGGTGCATACATGCTTATTATAACCCACTTTTCACATCCAATCTTTATTTTACTCCACATAATCCTTGAATTAATACATTTATAGTCCCTCTTTTCCTGCCATAGCTTATCCTTCAACATTATTGCTACTCCTTCTTTAGCTCTAACTCTATTTGAAACCCCTGACCTAATCCCATTTATTCCTCTCCATTGAAACTCTCCCACCCCCTTCAGCTTTGTTTCACTTAAAGCCAGGACATCCATCTTCTTCTCATTCATAACATCCACAATCATCTCTCTTATCATTTGCACAACATCCACGCACATTCAGACTTCCCACTTTGACAATTTTCTTCTTATTCTTTTTAGTAATCTTTACAGGAAAAGGGGTTACTAGCCCATTGTTCCCGGCATTTTAGTTGACTTTTACAACACGCATGGCTTACGGAGGAAAGATTCTTATTCCACTTCCCCATGGATATAAAAGGAAAAGTAATAAGACCAAGAACTATTAAGATAAAATCAAAGAAAACTCAGATGAGTGTGTATAAATAAATGTGTACATGTATGTGTAGTGTGACCTAAGTGTAAGTAGAAGTAGCAAGACATACTTGTAATCTTGCATATTTATGAGACAGACAAAAGACATCAGCAATCCTACCATCATGTAAAACAATTACAGGCTTTCGTTTTACACTCACTTGGCAGGACGGTAGTACCTCCCTGGGTGGTTGCTGTCTACCAACCTACTACTCTGTCTGTCTATATATCTGTCTATATCTCTGTCTCTCTTCATATCTGTCTCTTATTTTTTTTTATTATCACACTGGCCGATTCCCACCAAGGCAGGGTGGCCCGAAAAAGAAAAACTTTCACCATCATTCACTCCATCACTGTCTTGCCAGAAGGGTGCTTTACACTACAGTTTTTAAACTGCAACATTAACACCCCTCCTTCAGAGTGCAGGCACTGTACTTCCCATCTCCAGGACTCAAGTCCGGCCTGCCGGTTTCCCTGAATCCCTTCATAAATGTTACTTTGCTCACACTCCAACAGCACGTCAAGTATTAAAAACCATTTGTCTCCATTCACTCCTATCAAACACGCTCACGCATGCCTGCTGGAAGTCCAAGCCCCTCGCACACAAAACCTCCTTTACCCCCTCCCTCCAACCTTTCCTAGGCCGACCCCTACCCCGCCTTCCTTCCACTACAGACTGATACACTCTTGAAGTCATTCTGTTTCGCTCCATTCTCTCTACATGTCCAAACCCCCTCAACAACCCTTCCTCAGCCCTCTGGACAACAGTTTTACCAATCCCACACCACTTAACTTCCAAACTACGAATTCTCTGCATTATATTCACACCACACATTGCCCTCAGACATGACATCTCCACTGCCTCCAGCCTTCTCCTCGCTGCAACATTCATCACCCATGCTTCACACCCATATAAGAGCGTTGGTAAAACTATACTCTCATACATTCCCCTCTTTGCCTCCAAGGACAAAGTTCTTTGTCTCCACAGACTCCTAAGTGCACCACTCACTCTTTTTCCCTCATCAAATCTATGATTCACCTCATCTTTCATAGACCCATCTGCTGACACGTCCACTCCCAAATATCTGAATACGTTCACCTCCTCCATACTCTCTCCCTCCAATCTGATATTCAATCTTTCATCACCTAATCTTTTTGTCTCTTATATGTACATATAAGTACAAGTATACATAGTGTAAATTACCTAGGATAACCCAAAAATTCCAGGCCAAGTGCTATACAGTGCTTGTAGATGTAAGACATAGTAAGCATGACTGGCAAGTACTATGCAGTGTCACTTCTGCATCATGTTTAATACCTGTTGATTTACGAGCCGCTCTCTGAGACTGAGAGACAAGCAGACGGAAAGTCAGACACACAGGTCGACAGAAAGACAGATAAGCAGAGCTAGACAGATAGACGTACATGTTTGTGTGTAACAGTGAAAACCAATAAAGCCAGGGTTCCCTGCAGCAGTGCACCATCATCATGTCATTCCACTGCTTACCCTGTCAGCAGTTTATTGACACTCGTCATAAACACCATGCTTCAAGAAGTTTCATATATACTCCAGAATGTCTAAAACATTGCTAAGACCTATAAATACTTTGTATATATTTCTAGACAATAGTAAATAAACAAGACAGGTGAAAATGTTCACCTGTCAGTTTGATTGTGACTATTAGAGTACTATTTGAGTACCTAATACTAGTGTCAGAATAAAGATTGGCTATGAAATCACAAGAACTATTAAAAATTTTAATTATTTGAGTACCTAATATTAGTGTCAGAATAAAGATTGGCTATGAAATCACAAGAACTATTAAAAATTTTAATTATCAGAACAAAAATTATATAAATTATAAATTATATATATCGGCAACACTTCTGCAAGCAGCAGGACCCGATGTTGCCGTCAGGTGAGCATCCAGAACCAACTTCGGGGTCTTATATCTCAGAAAGTACTGGTCCTAAAATTCTTTTTTGGTCTTATAACACACAGAAAATTGCCCTCTTTAGTTAAAAAAAAAAAATCAAAATATTCGGAGTGCTGCACAAGTGAATGTAGATCTACGTTTGGACAGTTGAAGGGTTAAACTTAGGTGTTTAATATGTGGAACAAGTTGGATGACGAAGTAGTAGAGGCAGACACATGATGCAACTCAAAGTACGCAAACTCTTAATTCCTGTACATGTGTTAAGTAGTTTGTAAATACTATACTTAGTTTTGGTCTGCCCAAAATATTCGGCAAAATAAAGGGCTTTCCTTAGACTGTGCAAAATGAAGTAATCCCAGAACAGAATCAACACCATGTAATCCAGCACTAATTTCAGCTAGCATTATTTCAAATTTCTGGGGTCACCACACCAACCTGCTGCTACTGTTTGGTGGCGCTACTTGCTGCATAAGTCATTGCAATTTCTTTTTCTCCATTTACTGTTATAACCTCCTCACTTTTAGCCTTAGCCATGGTTCCAAAGAATAAAAGAAATGCTTCTCAATGCATAAAGCACATACACTGTACACTGTCTATAAAAGATAAGGTGGCTTTGAAGCCACTGTGTCGCCATGAGCTCAGCTCACTCATATAAGCTGTGACTGATAAATTTGGGCCTATATATGAGAGAATAGGTCTGTGTGCACTATATAAAAATAAATCCTACAGCAAACAGTACATAATGAGAAAAAGCTGCGACTTTGTTTTTGATGTAAAAAAGCTAATTTGCAATGTATTTTCGTATGGTGTTTATGGTTGTATTCTTGTTTTCTTGGTCTCATTTAATAGAATGGAAGATACATTACAGAAATACATATGATTTTGATATGTTTCAAGATGGAAAGTAATCTTGAAATTGAGCTCAAAGTAGCGGAAATGTTCGCTTTTCGCCGATGTTCAAGAATAAACAAATGACGTCACCGTCCAATACATGTCCAACTGGCTGGTCTAATATGTAGTCATGAATGGGTTGACATTATTTATACAACTGTTACAATAATGCAGTAGTCTGCATAACAGTAAATCTTCTATTTTTTTGTGTGTGAATAAAAATTCAAAATGGAAAGCAAGTGTAATATAAGAGGGGCCTGGAGACATGACTAATTAACAGAGAAAATGTTATTTTAGTGCCAGGAATGTCTGCACTGTTTATTCTGGACCCTATTTTGAAATTGGCATCTTTTGAAATTTGTGTGAAATTGGCCAAATTACTGATTTCTGACCACTTTATTGGGTAGTTGAAAGAGGTAAATGGGCGGTTTCTTGTACTCAATCGATAGAATAGAGGGAATACTTGCAAAATAACTACAAGTTTAATAGACTGGAACAATGGAGCGGGCCAAAAATAGGGCGTAAAGTGAGTGAAATTGCCAATGCATAAATATCGCCGTTGGGTTAAGTGAATTCTAACCTAACTGCTCTGTAATCTGGCAAAATAAGTAATCCAGCACCCTACAGGTCCTGATGATGCCAGATTAGTGATGGCCAACCTGTAATGTCATACACATTCAGTGTGATGCTGCAACTCATATTGAATCAAAATATATTTTTATTTCCATTGATTACATGGTGTTAGCCCACTCTGGGATTATATTCTTTTGTAAATTTTAAGAAGGCCCTTATTAAGAGAAGCATTTTTGAGCAGACTAAAATAGAACTTGTACTGTATATAGGTAAGGATTATAACATGTAGTTTTAGAGTTGAGTAACAATTTAGCAAAAGTTTTTGTACATAAAGTACTTTACATTACAAATGACAGTAACTTAAAAATTTAGTGGTATAACGTGACTGAGCACAGAACTCTGGGGTGATGGCTCTCGTTGTTTGCCAATGAAAACACACATTATTAAAAGGTAATTTATTAGGAAAATATGTTTTCTTGCATTGAACATACCATTCTTTATACATGTACTAGGGGCTTCTAGAGCAAAATAGGTTCTGAGTTCTGAACACTCAAGTTACAAACTACCTTCAAAAAGCAACTCATAATTGGGAACCACACAGTTTAAAATAAAAATCTAAAATTAGAGTGCATCTTACAAAACAGAAAATACGGTACTTAGTATGCCCTTACCCGCTGTATATATAATACATCTGGTAACTTAACCCAACATACTTCTGGGAGGCACCTGAGAACCCCTAGTCACTGCCGACCTGCCATCTGTTGAAAACCATGGTAAACACTATCTGCTTTTTCCAATGACTACTACTGTTTAGTTGATGCATATGCTTTCATTCAAGATCTGAGTACATTTGCCATACAACTAGCTAACAAGTCACTCATATAAAGCATAACCATACTCATCACCTGGCACTCATCAGTGCATGTGTGTGCATATGCATGATGAGTATATGTGGATGTGTTTGTCTAACAATAAGAGTATGTTTATTGTATGTACAGTATGAATTTAGTTATAAATTTATAAACAAATAAACATTGCCCTCATACTTACTTGTCCAGAATCAGTCAAAAAGAGAGAATGATCAGGTCCTGCAGCCACCATGATTACATTTGAATGCATGAAGGCCTTCACAGGACGTGGAGTAATAACTGGAGAATTTGTTTCCAGTCCTAGCCTTCCCCCGTGGCCATGACCACAGGTATAAACACGACCACTACTAGCAAGAAACAGCGTATGAAACTTGCTCAGAGCAACATCTATTATCACCTGACCTTCATGGTGAAAAGAATCTAAACACTCTGGAGTTCCTCTTGCATGCTGACTAGTCTGAAAAAATTCTATACTTAACAAATGAATATAGTAATGCAACCTCATCATTTGCACTTTTATTTAACAACTTTTATATGGTTATGGGGCAGATCACTGATCATGGACAAGACAATTAAGCTATTTTACAGCAAGCTAGTGAACAGTAAAGAAACTATTATCACAGAGGTGTAATGAAGTCCTGGACAATAGAGATGCTTTAATTATGTGGAGCAAACATAAAAAAAAGAAAATATATCTTAGAGGCAGAATATACATGAGCAGAGGGCATTTTGCGTGCTCATGTACGTACGTACGTGCGCACGCACGTGCGCACACACACGTGCACACACACGTGCACACACGCGCACACACACGTGCACACACGCGTGCACACACTCGCACACACGCGCGCACACACGCGCGCACACACGCGCGCACACACGCGCGCACACGCGCGCGCACACGCGCGCGCACACGCGCGCACACACGCGCGCACACACGCGCGCACACACGCGCGCACACACGCGCGCGCACACACGCACGCACACACACACACACACATACACACACACACATAACACACACACACACACACACACACACACACACACACACACACACACACACACACACACACACACACACACACACACACACACACACACACACACACACGAACAAGAATGCAACAATGCGATCTTTTTCTGCTAATCAACTTTTGGGGAGAGAAAGGATGTTTAAGAGGTGAAATAATATGAATGCTATTAAAACAAGTGGCTCAAAGCATCCATTTACATTAATGCACCTATACCATAGTCCCTACTCTTCCTTTACATCATATCAGTGCTGATGTAAAGAACTGTTGTCAAAAGCAATGCGATACAGTAGATTAAAAAAATCAAAGGAATGAAAAAAAGCAAATAAAAAATAACTGCTGATACATATGCCAGTAATATAAAAATTACAAAGGCAACATCTGAGAATTTTATGTATACTGTAGTGTGATGTTGCCTTGATGAAGTGCAATAAAGTGACACTCATGTGCAAGTGGTGCCAAATTTTTCTATCCTTCATACGTACAGCAACCTTTTATCAAAGGTCAAAATTTATAATGCATTTCCCAAGTTTTTTTATTTGGGTAATTTTTAGTCTGGCTTTCAAATTCATCACTATTACTGTGCAAAGTTTCAGTTGATATATTAACTTACCTGCCCCAAGTTGTAATTTGTGTTGTTACCCCAAACATAAACTTGTGTAGGTAATGAACAGGTAAAGGAGACAATCGATGGTCGATCAAAATTCACATGGTCCAATGGAGTAAGAGCATCATGGTCTAAAGCAGAAATGTTTCCACCACACTAGAAAATTAATATTAATACCATATAAATATTAACACTGTACTGTACAGTCATGCGTCGCATAACGATGTTACGGTCAATGATGGACCACATATATAATGGTGGTCCCTAATGCGCTGCCAGTCATATAAAAGTATAGCACATACAATTATGTACAGTACATAATACTTGATAATGATAATAAACAACTATGATACTGGTTTATGTATTTACTATATTGTACTTTTTATCGTTATTGTAGAGTGTACTCTATTTGCTTAAAAAAAGTTTACTGTACGACAGCATATCGTGTTATGCAGGCAGCAGCTTCATACATCTCATGTTTACTGCATCTCTTGATAGCATCATTTTCCCATGTGCTTGATTCAATCTCATGTTGTTTTGATCATCATGGCTGCAAGATTTTTTAGCCTAGGAGCAACAGGCTATTCCATATAGCCTAGGTATGGCTATACCATCTAGGTTTGTGTAAGTACACTCTAATGTTTGCAGGACGAAATCACGTAACAAAGCAGTTCTCTGAATATATCCTCATTGTTAAGCGATGCATGACTGTATATAAATGCATTGTATAGTTGATTAGAATTTTCATTGTAATATGTACAACTGCATAATAGAAAATGCACATATTCACTTCCTCCATACTCCCTCCTTCCAACCAGATATTCAATCTTTCATTACCTAAATTGTTTGTTACCTTCATTACCTTGCTCTTTCCTATGTTCACTTTTAATTTCCTTCTTTTATGTACCCTCCCAAATTCATCCACCAACCTTGGCAACTTCTCTTCACACACTGAAATGCATCGTCATTGACAAAAGGTAACTGTGACAACTCCCCTCTTGTATTAGTTTCTGCATATTATAATCCCATACCTCTTTCCCAACACCCTAGTATTCACTTATTTTACAACCTCATCTATAAACATCTTAAACAACCATGGTTACATTAAGCATCATTGTTTAAGGCCTACTTTTATTGGAAAATAATTTCCTTCTCTCGTACATGTCCTAACCCGAGCTTCAATAATAAAAACTCTTAACTGTTTACAGTAACCTACAACCTATTCCATACACTTGCAACATCTGCCACATTGCTCCCCTATCCATCTTATCATATGCCTTTCTAAATCCATGAATGCGACAAAAACTTCCTTAACTTTACCTAAATATTGTTCAATTATATGCTTCATTGTAAACATTAGGTTTATACATCCCCTAAACTGCCTAAAGCCACTTTGTTCACAATGCGATCTTGTTCTCCATCTTACCCCTAATTCTTTAAATAATAACTACAATACACTTTACCTAGTATACTCAACAGGCTTATTCCCCTCTAATTTTTACACTCTCTTTTGTCCCCTTTCCCTTTAAACAAAGGAACTATGCATGCTCTCTGCCAATCCCTAGGTCCTTTCCCCTATTTCATACATTTATTGAAGAAAAGTACCAACCACTCCAAAACTATGTCCCCACCTGCTTTTAACTTTTCTGTCTTGATCCCATCAATTCCAGCTACTTCACCCCCTCATGTATGTCCCCCATACTCACATCTGGCTCTTCCTCACTCCTAAAGGATGTTGTACCTCCTTGGCCAATGCATGAAATTACTGCCCCCCTTTCTTCAACAATATTTAACAGCTCCTCAAAATATTCCCGCTATCTTCCCAATACCTCCAACTCCCCATCTAATAATGCTTCTTTTAATTTAACTGGCAAATCCATTTGTTCCCTAGGTTTTCTCAACTTATTAATCTCTAAAACTTTCTAATTCTTGGTAAAATTTGTTGATTGAACTTCACCCACTCTCTCATTTGCCCTCTTTTTACACTCACTCACCACTCTCAACCTCTATTACTCTCCATACACTCTACCCTTATATAATTTCTCCTTTATAAAAACCTCATATATGCTAACTTTTTTTCCCTACCACCCCTTTACCTCTTCATTCCACCAATCAGTCCTCTTTCCTTCTGCACCCACTCTCCTATATCCACAAACTTCTGTTGCACACTAACACTGCATTCTTAAATCTACTCCATACCTCTTCAGTACCTATACACCCATTGCCCCATCTTTCTCCCAACAGTTGTTTATATCTTATCCTAGCTACCTCAAGCTTATAAACTAACTCCTTTCTTACTTGCTGATGCCATTCAACTTGTACCCCATCTATCTCTCACTCTCACTGTAGCTACAACTTAATGATCTGATACATCTGTTTATCCACCAATACTTAGTCCAACAAACTGTTGTCATTACGCCCTTTATCATATCTCGCGAGCTTATTTATCCTCTTCACCAATAGCCTGCACATAGGAGAGAGGAGCTTATGATGACGTTTCGGTCTGACTTGGACCATTACAGTCACACCGTGACTTTGTAAATGGTCCAAGTTGGACTGAGATGTCGTCATAAGCTCCACTCTCCTATTTATGGGTTATCTGTGTATTGTTCAGTCACGGTATTGTGCCTTTCTTGTTCCTTATTTATCCTCTTTTTCCTTAAAATACGTACTACTTATTACCAACCCTCTTTCTATACAAAAGTCAAATAAAGACTCGCATTATTATTTACCCCTGGCACCGAAAACCTACTACACCCTCTACAACAGTTTCTTCCACTTTAGCATTCGGATCCCCTACCACAATTATTCTCACTTGGTTTAAAATGCCCTCAACATTTGCTTAATATCTCCCAAAATCTCTCTCTCTCTCTCTCTCTCCTTTCTGTACACTTTTCTCTTCTCCCACTTTTTGCATCCAACCCTTATTTTATTTCACATAATTCTTGAATTCATATACGTATTCATGTTCCCTCTTTTTTGCTTCTATAACCTAACTTTCCTCATTACCACTACTCCTTAGCTCTAACTCTCTCAGATACACCTGACCTAATCCTATTTGTTTCTCCCTGCTGAAACTTCCACTATTTATTTTGCATGCACTGAGGTAGAGGAGGCTGGACTCGTGGAATATGGGGATATGTTTCTCGGGTTGTACAACTAAAATACAGTAAAGGTCCTATAAAACTGGCCCCCATAAAGCAGATGTCAGTTAAAACAAAAAAAATCTGGCCATACAAAGGCTAAATATTCACATTTAATAGTGTGTCCAGTTAAAATAGCCACGAAGTGCACTAAATCCACAATATCGAATGACTATCTGGTTCAGCTGTGCATTCAATAAAATGGAGCAACTCCACTTAATCACTTGTACAGTCCAAAGTTTGTCCTGAACATAACCACTTTCATGGTTCCTGGGCAGCATGGTCACCCAGTGACTGCCTCCGTCAGTGCGTCTTTGTGATTATGCGAGCTCACACCATTTCATCTCCAAACTTCCCTTGGATTTACTTAGTTTTTAATTTTATTAAAGTACCATATAGTGTTATTAAGAATGGTCTCTCAAGCTAGTGATGGTGCCAGGAAAAATGTAAACTTAACTGTTAAGGAGAAACTTGAATTAATAAGAAAGCTGGAGGCTAGCATTTCCATGGTCTGGGAGTGTGAGGTGTATGTGTAGCAAAACCAGAAAACCAGAGGGTAAGAAAAATCACTATACGTACTGTACTCTACTGTACTGTATTGTAGTCTTAACCCATTTTCTTTTCAGGTTTATTTACAGGTAAAACTGTTTTGAACTGTAGCTTATTCTTCATATGTCCAGTAATCAATCAATACAGTGGACTAAATATGTTCTATTGGGTGTTTGTCCATGTCTGGCAGTTAATCGATTAAGCAGAATACATCTGCTTAATTATATTGTTCAATAAAAAGGAATTTTTGGTAAATTGGACACCCCCATTTTCCGTATCAGTCCATTTTATCAGACCTTTACTGTACATCTAATTTATTATTATTATTAGTCAGAGATGTCAAATCATTCCAAAAACAATATTTTACTGAATCTTCAAAATCACTAGCATTATACTATACGTATTGTGTTAGGTTAGAATGAGTGCCCTACATAAGTGACTACTACTTTAAGTATATATAGTAATATAAATAGCCTACCTGAATTAAAGCACAAGCAACATGAAGTTGCCCATAGAAGAGTGCACGATGTAAAGGAGTGTAGCCGCTTTCCCAGTCACGCTGATTCAATGATGCACCTTTTGAAAGGAGCCATTTCACAACCTGAAATTTATCAGTAACACTTCAATCATGTACATACAGTTGATGTCACAGATAAGCACACACAAACAGAACACAGAAAATGAGACTGCTCACCATAACCTATTATTTTAAATACATAATACCGAAAAAACCTGGAGTTTACCTGGAGAGAGTTCAGGGGGTCAACGCTCCAGTGGCCCGGTCTGTGACCAGGCCTCATGGTGGATCAGGGCCTGATCAACCTGGCTGTTACTGCTGGCTGCACGCAATCCAACATACGAACCACAGCCCGGCTGGTCGGGTACCGACTTTAGGTGCTTGTCCAGTGCCTGCTTGAAGACTGCCAGGGGTCTACTGGTAATCCCCCTTATGTATGCTGGGAGGCAGCTGAACAGTCTTGGGCCCCTGACACTTATTGTGTTGTCTCTTAACGTGCTAGTGACACCCCTGCTTTTCATTGGGGGGATGTGGATCATCTACCGAGTCTTTTGCTTTCGTAGGGAGTGATTTTCGTGTGCAAGTCTGGTACTAGTCCCTCTAGGATTTTCCAGGTGTATATAATCATGCATCTCTCCCACCTGCATTCCAGGGAATACAGGTTCAGGAACCTCAAGCGCTCCCAGTAATTGAGGTGTTTTATCTCCGTTATGCGTGCCGTGAAGGTTCTCTGTACATTTTCTAGGTCAGCAATTTCACCTGCCTTGAAAGGTGCTGTTAGTGTGCAGCAATATTCCAGCCTAGATAGAACAAGCGACCTGAAGAGTGTCATCATGGGCTTGGCATCCCTAGTTTTGAAGGTTCTCATTATCCATCCTGTCATTTTTCTAGCAGATGCGATTGATACAATGTTATGGTCCTTGAAGGTGAGATCCTCCAACATGATCACTCCCAGGTCTTTGACGTTAGTTTTTCGCTCTATTGTGTGGTTGAAATTTGTTTTATACTCTGATGAAATTTTAATTTCCTCACATTTACCATATCAGAGTAATTGAAATTTCTCATCATTGAACTTCATATTGTTTTCTGCAGCCCACTGAAAGATTTGGTTGATGTCCGCCTGGAGCCTTGCAGTGTCCGCAATGGAAGACACTGTCATGCAGATTCGGGTGTCATCTGCAAAGGAAGACACAGTGCTGTGGCTTACATCCCTGTCTATGTCAGATATGAGGATGACTAACAAGATGGGATCAAGTACTGTGTCTTGCGGAACAGAGTTTTTCACCGTAGCTGCCTCAGATTTTACTCTGTTGACTACTACTCTTTGTGTTCTATTTGTCAGGAAATTATAGATCCATCTACCAACTTTTCTTGTTATTCCTTTAGCATGCATTTTGTGTGCTATTATGCCATGGTCACACTTGTCAAAGGCTTTTGCAAAGTCTGTATATATTACATCTGCATTCTTTTTGTCTTCTAGTGTTCCTCACCCAAACTAATATGGTATTTTGTAGAATTGCCCTTCCTCTTGGTGCACTCAAGTCTCCTAGACACTGATAAATTTAACCTAAGGAAAATCACAATAATTTAGTCAATTCTTTGTCTTTGGCAGTATGGCAAGGGCAACAGCCTTCCATACAAAAATTGCCCTGGCATTTAAGTCTTTCGGGCAGTGTTCCAAAGCCATACTTACTGGTGTGCATATTTATGACGCTTACTTTAAGAACAATTTACATGTCAAAACATTTTATTTTTACCATTTTTTTTTCACTCTGAACAAAATACTGTGAGTGTGTAGGTGTTTAAGTATAGGTTCATGTCTGTTGATGAAGGCAGAACAGTAGTAATATGAATAACACCTGGGCAGAATATAGATGCTGGACTCTATAACCATCAATTTAACAATCCAGAGTAAGAGACCAAATTCACCCAAGACACTGGAGTAGGCAATCAGCCCTGAAACAAACATCAAAGCCACAACCAAGAGAGGTGAGGTGAGCCAATGTCGTAATAGCTAAGCTGGGAAGGCAAGAGGACAAGCAGACCATAGATAACACAAGGCCATCTACAAAAAAAGAATGGTAAAGATCATGAAAGTTAGCCATGAACTATACAATCAACTGGGAAGAGGTGCCCAAAGCACCCAAGGAGGGAAGGAGCAAAGTATTACTCACACCAATGGAGACAATACAAAAGCTAGAATGCGAAGTCCTGAGCCATGAAGCATAATTCCTTGTAATAAACCCATGTCCCATCTATATCTGTCTATCACAACAGGAACTCCAGGATCTTGGGAAGTACACAGTTTCATGTCTGCAACCTATGGTTGCCAGACATGCACACAAATCCAGGGCACCAACATTCCCCCTTCCTGCAAGGTAAATGTAAACCATAAACTGGGATGTCAGGAAATGCCAGACACTGTACTGTGAAGAGCAAGAGTAGTGGTGAGAATCTTTGAACATAAACCCAGCTAAGTAACCATCCAGACTAACCCTCTTTGCACTAATCTCGTTCATACCTCTCCTCCCTCTACAGATGTTCCTGGTGTCTACTCTATTTCTTGCTCCTCCTGTCCTCTTCAATACTTCGGAGAAACTGGTTGATCTCTTTCTGACAGACTTAGGGAGCACAAAAATAGTGTTAGGCTTGCCGACACTAACAATGCTCTTTTCTGTCACGTCAGAGATCATAGCCATCCTATTGACTGGTCTTCTGCTAAAACTGTCTTCCCTACTTCCAACTCGAACAGTCGCCGTCTAGTTGAATCCTCTCTAATACACAACTTTCCTTGTATGAACCTTAGCCCTGGCTTCGTCTCTGTAGATGCTTTCCTCTCCCACTACATTGTAAAACTCCAAACTTCAGAACACCCGTGACTTAACCTGAATCCTCATTTTTTCTTTCTTTTTCTTCTTCCTCTTCCCCTTTCCTCTTTCCTTTTCTCCTCTGGGTTGTCTTTCTCTCTCCTGTCTCGTGTTTCTGTTCCTTCTTCATTTATTTTATTTCACCACTTCCCCTTTCACGCACCTCTGTGCGCTTGCTCTCCCTCTGTGGGCATCTAGCTCTCTTGCAGTGCTCCCCTTCCTTTGTTTTTGTTTTTGACTGGCTCGTCATCCTTATTTCCCACTTCTACTACTACTACTACAACTACTGATGAAATTAAGACACATGTGCGGCGTCTGGTTGTCTTTGTTGTGGACATTTCGCCATCCAGTGGCTGGCTGGATGGCGAAACGTCTACGATGGGGATGCCCGGGTGTTGTGCATGCGTCTTAATTTCATCTTGTCGGTATTATATACAATTCTTGTGCTACTACTACTACTACTACTACTACTACTACTACTACCTCCACCTCTTCCTGCCTATATATAGCCGTCCTGCTCCACCTCTGTTAGTGTGACTTTGTCAATGGTCCAAGTCGGACCGAAACGTCGTCGTAAGCTTCTCTCTTTTATGTGCGGGTTATTTGTGTATTGTGTGTGTTAAGTAACCATCCAGTTGATGGCAGAGTTGCCAGCAGAAATTTTGGTCAATATGCTGAAGCATAAGAGCCTATACCATGTGAAGTATGTACTTATAAGGATCCTTGTCAGGTACAGGAATAGAGCCCTCTAAAATATTGGGACCAACAGAAGGCCTCTAAGCAATGTAAGTGCTGTGCAACATCAAACAAAGTACTTGCTCAAACTACCATACATTTTCAATAGTAGTCATGAAAATTAATTTTTTAGGGCAGAAGTTCCCAAACTGTGGACCACGAACCCCCAGGAGTCCGTAAAGGTAGTACTGGGGGGTCTGTGAGCCGAGATCAAAATTTCAAGAGGCTGCATTGTAAAATATATAATTACTCACAAAAAGGCTGATAAAGATAAGATTTCAAAAGTTTAAAATGGCAGGAATAAACTAATTTTTTTAGATGCTTTTTATCACTGTTGGTCACATTTTATGGGATGCCAAATCAAACATGCCAAACCTCCATCAAACACTGGTCAAGTTTCCTGCATTACAACTTATAAGACTTTGGCTGCATGTAAAAAGTGAGTGCCCAGAACCAGAATCCAAAGCACTGAGATATTTAATGCCATTCCCCACTATATATTTATGTGAGCAGGCTCTCTCCCAGCTTTTTCACATAAAATCAAAATACAGAAACAGGATGAATGTGGAACCTGATCTACACTTATTTGTCTGCCAGTGAACCTGAAATTCAGAACAGTGTCAGCAAAGCAGCATTAACCATCTCATTAACCCTTTCAGGGTCCAAGGCCAAAATCTGAAGTGGTGCCCCAGTGTCCAAGAATTTAAAAAAAAAAAATTTTTATTTTTTCTTATGAAATGGTAGAGAATCTTTTTGTGAATGTAATAAAACAAAAAGTACGAAATTTGATGGAAAATTGACGAAATTATGCTCTCGTGAATTTTGATGTGTCAGCGATATTTACGAATCGGCGATTTTGCCGACTTTGACTCCCATTTTAGGCCAATTACATTATTCCAGTCGACCAAATTCTCAGCTATTTCACTAGTATTACTTCTATTCTATCGATTGAGCACAAGAAATCGCCAAGTCAACTGTTTCAACTACAAAATAAAGTGACCGGAAGTTGGTAATTTGGCCAATTTAACACAAAGTTCAAAATATTCCAATTTCAAAATAGGGTCCAGAATAAACAATGTAGGTATTCCTGGCACTAAACTAACATTTCCTCTGTTCATTAGTTATGTTTTGAGGCTTTACAAATAAATTCCATTTTGATTTTTTATTCACATAATGAATTTTTATTCACACCAAAAAATAGAAGATTTACTGTTATGCAATATTGTAATAATTGTATAAATATCATCACCACATTTGTGAATGTATATTAGACCCACCAGCTGGCGTGTATTAGACGTGTGAGGTCGTTTGTTTACTCTTGAACATCGGCAAAAATTTAACATTTCCGCCACTTTGAGCTCAATTTCAAGCCATTTCCAGTGCTAACACCAATCAAAATTATCTCTATTTCTGTAATATGTCTTCCATTCTATCAAATGAGACCAAGAAATCACAAATACAACTATAAAAACATACGAAAAAACACTGCAAAGTCGCTGTTTTAATCGAAAATCATGGTCTCAGTTTTTTTTCTCATTATACACAGTGTGCTGCAGGATTTGTTTTATGTGGTGCACACATACCACATAGATGTATTCTCTCATATCTAGGCCTAAATTTACCACTCACAGTTTATAAGAGTGAGCTGAGCTCATGACGTAGATCTACGGTTTGGACCCTGAACGTAAAGCCGTTGATCTACGGGACGGACCCTGAAAGGGTTAAATGAATAAGTTTTTTTTTACAACTGTCATTTGTTTAATTTGATACTCAATGAAAAATGAGTTTGTTAGTTAATAAAACTGACTTGTTGCATAGACAGACCTTTCAAAAACCTGGGGGTCCATGAGAAAATTAATTTAAGTAAAAGGGGTTCTTGCTGGTGAAAAGGTTGGAACCACTGCTTTAAGGAATATTTTGAAGAGCTGCAGGGATTGCCCAAAGCACTAAAAAAAGTCGCAGCTCCTCCATGGTCCCTGAAAAATGAAGCAATTATGAAGAGTGCACAGCTGATGGCTTGAAGAGAGGATGACAGCTGAATTCCAGTGAACTGGTAACTGTCACTTTGGGCATCAATCATAACAAGCAAACAGTAACTGGCATCTGGAAGCTAAGTCATCATTACTAAGCAGAAAATGCATGTCCTGACCTTGCCGGAGCCATTACTGAGCAGCAAGTACACGTATTGAACTTGTCGGAGCCTAGAGGAAAATACGTGTATTAGTACGAATAAAATTTGGCATATTCCAGGAGGACACACTGGACTCTAAAGAAGATATAGTATCTTGCAAAAATCCTCTCCATGTATACTCCAGGTATCTAAACATAATCTAGGTTTCTTGCACTTTGCTAATTAAGAAAATTAAAATCTACTTAAAGATGAATTACAGTGGAATCTCTACTTGCGGGTGCATCCACGTGCGAGTTTTTCCAAATACGAGCAGTCAATGGGTCAATTTTTTGCTTCCATACGCAAGCAAAATTTCCATAAACGAGCAGACCTCAAGGCAGGTGCCTTGATGCTGGTGAGGGGCTCTTGCTCTTATCTAGGGAATTGTATCTCATTTGTTTGTTGAGCTATCTTATTGAAACTTGGGCAATGTATGATGGAAAGATGCTTCTTAACGTAATAATAATAATAATAATAATAATAATAATAATAATAATAATAATAATAATAATAATAATAATAATAATAATAATAGTATGTATCATAATAATAGTATAATAATATAATACAACAATAATAATAATAATACGTATAATAATAATATATTACTAAATGTAAAAGGAGAAACTTTCATTTTTCCTTTTGGGCCACCCCGCCTCGGTGGGATACGGCCGGTGTGTTGAAAGAAGGAAATAATAATAATATAATACTATAATAATAATACATATATAATAATAATGTACTACATAATAATAATTATTATAATAACAGACGACTTCAAGAGGCCATCACTAGATGGCAGTGTTTACCACAACAAAGAGAGAGCGGTTGTGGCCACTTCCACCTGTTACATGACATATTTTATGCATTCTGAAGTATATATCAGGTTTCTATGTTATTTATATTGTTTATTATTTCATATTAGATGAACTGTGATAGATAAATAAGCCGTAGAGTTGATGATAGCGAAATACAATGGACCCCCGGTTAACAATATTTTTTCACTCCAGAAGTATGTTCAGGTGCCAGTACTGACCGAATTTGTTCCCATAAGGAATATTGTGAAGTAGATTAGTCCATTTCAGAGCCCCAAACATACACATACAAACGCACTTACATAAATACACTTACATAATTGGTCGCATTCGGAGGTGATCGTTATGCGGGGGTCCACTGTATTCAAGGAGTATTTTGTCTTGTCTCCAGACAAACTCTCGTCAGCCGCCACTGCTGCCACACATATAATGACATTTTATTCATTCTAGAGTATATATCAGGTTTCTATGTTATTTATATAGTTTGTTATGTGTTATTAGATGAACTTTGATAGATAAATAAGCCGTAGAGTGATATTAGCGAAATTATTGAAGTACAGAATTCCACTGGAACGGATTATAATTGCATTCCAATTAATTTAAATGAGGAAAATTGACTCTGTAAATGAGCAAATCCAGTTGCGAGCAAGGTCATGGAACGGATTAAACTTGCAAGTAGAGGTTCCACTGTGTATCAAATTTTTCCTAGTTACACCTCTATATTACAGTACAGTCAATGCTTTTATTTAATTCTTCCAGATAGTGAAATTTTTCTTAATGCCACTGAAAAAGTACATTCAAAATTGTAATAGCACATGGAAAGGCTTTCATAATTAACATGTGCTATTAAATTTTCACCTTCATAATGATCATATGCTATTCAATTTTCAATGAGTTTTTTCATTCATCCTTAGGAAAAATTGCACTATATAGAAGAGCTTTAAAAGAAATCTATGTCTAACATTAATAAATGCACAATAGTCAGTAATTTGAAAAATACTGCACAACCTATACAAACTTTCTGTGGACAAAGAGAAATATTAAATCTACACATACAAAATGAAAGTTGTCTTGCACATACTTTGAAATGGAGTGCAAAATAGAAAAAGTAATTTACAGGGTAAAATGTTGTGATAGAGAATGAAATTTCATCACAAACTCTGACCTTTCTTTTACCACAGGAAGCTGCCGTGTGAAGTGCTGTTTTTCCTACTTCGTCTATCACAAAACAGTAGCGATGACACAGGCTCTGGAAAAATTATAATACAATCTGAATATTATTAACTTTGGGAGAGTTATATTGTATGTAGGAATGGGATGATACCAAATATTTGTACCAATATCTATCCTCAATCTTAGGCCAATACCTTCAAAATTAACTAATACATCACAAAAACCAAACCTTCAGCATCAAAGTATTTTTTTTTTTCAACAAGTCGGCCGTCTCCCACCGAGGCAGGGTGACCCATAAAGAAAGAAAATCCCCCAAAAAGAAAATACTTCCATCATCATTCAACACTTACACCTCACTCACACATAATCACTGTTTTTGCAGAGGTGCTCAGAACACAACAGTTTAGAAGTATATACGTAAAAAGATACACAACATATCCCTCCAAACTGCTAATATCCCGAAACCCCTCCTTTAGAGCGCAGGCATTGTACTTCCCATTTCCAGGACTCGAGTCCGGCTATATAAAAATAGCTGGTTTCCCTGAATCCCTTCACTAAATATTACCCTGCTCACACTCCAACAGATTGTCAGGTCCCAAATACCATTCGTCTCCATTCACTCCTATCGAGCACGCTCATGCACGCCTGCTGGAAGTCCAAGCCCTTCACCCACAAAACCTCCCTTACCCCTTCCTTCCAACCTTTTCGAGGACAACCCCTACCCCGCCTTCCTTCTCCTACAGATTTAAATGCTCTCCATGTCATTCTACTTTGATCCATTCTCTCTAAATGACCAAACCACCTCAACAACCCTCTTCAGCCCTCTGACTAATACTTTTATTAACTCCACACCTTCTCCTAATTTCCACACCCCTAATTTTCTGCATAATATTTACACCACACATTGCCCTTAGACAGGACATCTCCACTCCCTCCAACCGCCTCCTCGCTGCTGCATTCACAACCCAAGCTTCACACCCATATAACAGTGTTGGTACTACTATACTTTCATACATTCCCTTCTTTGCCTCCATAGATAACATTTTTTTGACTCCACATATACCTCAACGCACCACTCTACCTTTTTTTCCTCATCAATTCTATGATTAACCTCATCCTTCATAAATCCATCCGCCGACACGTCAACTCCCAAGTATTTGAAAACATTCACTTCTTCCATACTCCTCCCCAATTTGATATCCAATTTTTCTTTATCTAAATCATTTGACACCCTCATCACCTTACTCTTCTCTATGTTCACTTTCAACTTTCTACCTTTACACACACTCCCAAACTCATCCACTAACCTTTGCAATTTTTCTTTAGAATCTCCCCTAAGCACAGTATCATCAGCAAAAAGTAACTGTCAATTCCCATTTTGTATTTGATTCCCCATAATTTAATCCCACCCCTCTCCCAAACACCCTAGCATTTACTTCTTTTACAACCCATCTATAAATATATTAAACAACCATGGTGACATTACACATCCCTGTCTAAGACCTACTTTTACCGGGAAGTAGTCTCCCTCTCTTTTACACACCCTAACCTGAGCCTCACTATCCTCATAAAAACTCTTTACAGCATTTATTAACGTACCACCTATTCCATATACTTGCAACATCTGCCACATTGCTCCCCTATCCACTCTATCATATGCCTTTTCTAAATCCATAAATGCAATAAAAACTTCCCTACCTTTATCTAAATACTGTTCACATATATGTTTCAATGTAAACACTTGATCTACACATCCCCTACCCACTCTGAAACCTCCTTGCTCATCTGCAATCCTACATTCTGTCTTACCTCTAATTCTTTCAGTTATAACCCTACAGTACACTTTTCCTGGTATACTCAGTAAACTTATTCCTCTATTTATTTATTTATTTATTTATTTAGTAATTTGAGCATACATACAGAGGTACAAAATAACACAGGTAAGAGCAGCATGCCAAAGCCACTTATGTGCATAGCATTACGGGCAGGCTTAAAATTAACTTAAGATTAACTAAGCAATGATGAAATCAGTGATAAGACATTATTGTAAACAGATAACTATAAAACACAAATGAGTATTACAAAGTCAGGTCATATGGTTGCATGCATTGCTGTACATTCAGTAGAATGGAGTATTCTGTTAGGTAGTGTATTTAAAAAATAACAAAGTTAGATTGGGTCCTAGGTTTAACATTTATGTGATATAATTGTGAGAAACATTTAGGATATACAATTTATAAGGTTCAGTTATTCAGTATTTATTTGGTTTTGGGTGAGTAAGTGATCTTTGAGAAGAGACTTGAATTTATAAACAGGTAGTGTTTCTTTTATATTTACAGGTAATGAATTCCAGATTTTAGGGCCTTTTATGTGCATCGAGTTTTTGCATAGCGTGAGATGGACACGAGGAACATCAAAGAGTGATCTGTGCCTTGTGTTATGGTCACGTGTTCTGTTGAGGTTGGCAAGGAGATGTTTGAGGGGAGGGTTAATATCAGAGTTAAGTGTTCTATGTATGTAATAGGTGCAATAATAAGTATGGATGTTTTGTATGGTGAGTAGGTTGAGTGTTTTGAATATTGGTGGAGTGTGCTCTTTTGTCCCCCTTCCCTTTATATAAAAGGACTATACATGCTCTCTGCCAATCCCTAGGTACCCTCCCCTCTTTTATACATTTATTAAACAAAAGTACCAACCACTCCAACACTATATCCCCCCCTGCTTTTAACATTTCTGTCATGATCCCATCAGTTCCAGCTGCTTTACCCCCTTTCATTCAACGTAATGCCTCACGTACCTCCCCCACACTTACATTCTGCTCTTCTTCACTCCTAAAAGATGGTATACCTCCCTGGCCAGTGCATGAAATTACCGCCTCCCTTTCTTCCTCAACATTTAAAAGTTCCTCAAAATATTCTCGCCATCTACCTAATACCTCCCTCTCCCCATCTACTAATTCCCCTTCTCTGTTTTTAACTGACAAATCCATACTTTCCCTAGGCTTTCTTAACTTGTTTAACTCACTCCAAAAATTTTTCTTATTTTCATTAAAATTTCTTGACAGTGCCTCTCCCATTCTATCATCTGCTCTCCTTTTGCACTCTCTCACCACTCTCTGCACCTTTCTTTTAATCTCCATATACTCTGCTCTTCTTATAACACTTCTGCTTTGTAAAAAAACTCTCATAAGCTAACTTTTTCTCTTTTGTCACACCCTTTACTTCATCATTCCACCAATCACTCCTCTTTCCTCCTGCCCCCACCCTCCAATAACCACAAACTTCTGCCCCACATTCTAATACTGCATTTTTAAAACTTATCCAACCCTCTTCAACCTCCCTCCCTCCCCCCACTACTCATCTTTGCACTAGCCCACCTTTCTGCCAATAGTTGCTTATATCTCGCCCGAACTTCCCCCTCCCTTAGTTTATACACTTTCACTTCCCTCCTACTTGTTGTTGCCACCTTCCTCTTGTCCCATCTACCTCTTACTCTAACTATATCTACAACTAAATATTGATCCAATATATCAGTTGCCCCTCTATAAACATGTACATCCTGGAGCCTACCCATCAACCTTTTATCCACCAATACATAATCTATCAAACTACTTTCATTACGTGCTACATCATACCTTGTATATTTATTTATCCTCTTTCATAAAATATGTATTACTTATTACCAAATCTCTTTCTACACATAGCTCAATTAAAGGCTCCCCATTTACATTTACCCCTGGTACCCCAAATTTACCTACTACTCCCTCCACACATTTTTACCCACTTTAGCATTGAAATCCCCAACCACAAGTACTCCAGGTGCATATACACTTACTATAACCCACCTTTCACATCCAACCTTTATTTTACTCCACATAATCCTTGAATTAATACATCTATAGTCCCTCTTTTCCTGCCATATCTTATCCTTCAACATTATTGCTACTCCTTCTTTAGCTCTAACTCTATTTGAAGCCCCTGATCTAATCCCATTTATTCCTCTCCACTGAAACTCTCCCACCCCCTTCAGCTTTGTTTCACTTAAAGCCAGGACATCCAGCTTCTTCTCATTCATAACATCCAAAATCATCTCTTTCTTATCATTTGAACAACATCCACGCACATTCAGATTTCCCACTTTGACAATTTTCTTCTTCTTATTCTTTTTAGTAATCTTTACAGGAAAAGGGGTTACTAGCCCATTGTTCCCGGCATTTTAGTTGACTTTTACAACACGCATGGCTTACGGAGGAAAGATTCTTATTCCACTTCCCCAAGGATATAAAAGGAAAAGTAATAAGACCAAGAGCTATTAAGATAAAATCAAAGAAAATGCAGATGAGTGTGTATAAATAAACATGTACATGTATGTGTAGTGTGACCTAAGTAAGTAGAAGTAGCAAGACATACCTGTAATCTTGCATATTTATGAGACAGACAAAAGACACCAGCAATCCTACCATCATGTAAAACAATTACAGGCTTTCGTTTTACACTCACTTGGCAAGACAGTAGTACCTCCCTGGGTGGTTGCTGTCTACCAACCTACTACAAGTATTGTCACCAATTGTCACCAATTATTGCAACACTCTTCAACAAATCCATAGAATCAGCTACCTTCCCAACAATCCTCAAAATAGCGAGGGTCACTCCGGTCCATAAAGGAGGTGACCAAGCTGACTTGAATAACTATAGACCAACATCTAACTTACCATTGCTCTCTAAAATCTTCGAAAAATTAATTCATAGGCCTGGTCACAGACCAGGCCGCGGGGGCGTTGACCCCCGAAACTCTCTCCAGGTAAACTCCAGGTAATAGACGGATCTATTCCTACCTCGTCTCACACAACATATTAAACCCTTGTCGGTTTGGATTCAGGAATAATAAAAGCACGAATGATGCTATCATACACATGCTAGAACTAATATATACCGCACTCGAAATGAAAGAAGTCCAGCTGGGCATTTTCATTGATTTACGTAAATCTTTTGATCGACCATGAACTGCTGTACTCCAAATTAACGCACTATGGTATCAGAGGCCACTCCCTCAACTACCTAAAATCATACCTTAGTAAAAGAACTCAATATGTGTATGCAAATGATGCAAACTCTTCCACCCAACCAATCATAGTAGGAGTTCCACAAGGAAGCATCCATGGACCACTCCTCTTTCTCATCTACATCAATGATCTACCGAATGCATCACAGCTACTCAAACCCATATTATTTGCAGATGACATTACACATGTCTTTTCCCACCCAAACATAGTCATACTAGCAAACACAGTCAATGCCGAATTGCAGAAAATATCTGCCTGGATGATGACTAATAAACTTACCCTGAATACTGATAAAACCTATTTCATTCAGTTTGGAAACAAAGCTGCAAATGATCCGATTAACATAACACTAAATGGATCATCAGTCACAAGACTCACAGAGGGAAAATTCCTAGGTATCCACCTCGACAGTAGCCTTAAGTTCCGGACACACATACAACAAATCACCAAGAAAACCTCCAAGACTGTAGGCATACTATCAAAGATAAGGTACTACATTCCACAATCAGCTCTCCTGGCAATGTACCATACACTCATATACCCTTATCTTACATATGGAATTCGTGCATGGGGATCAACAACATCCAATCACCTAAAACCCCTCATAACCCAGCAAAGGCAGCAGTAAGAATGATAACGAATTCCCACTCCCGCCAGCATACTCCACCAATTTTCAAAAGTCTGACTCTGCTCACCATTAACCTCTTCAGGGTCCAAGACCCAAATCTGAAGTGGTGCCCCAGTGTCCAAGAATTTTCAAAACAAAAAAAATTTTTATTTTTTCTTATGAAATGGTAGAGAATCTTTTTGTGAAGGTAATAAAACAAAAAGTACGAAATTTGATGGAAAATTGACGAAATTATGCTCTCGCGAATTTTGATGTGTCAGCGATATTTATGAATCGGCGATTTTGCCGACTTTGACTCCCATTTTAGGCCAATTACATTATTCCAGTCAACCAAATTCTTAGCTATTTCACTAGTTTTACTTCTATTCTATCGATTGAGCACAAGAAATCGCCAAGTCAACTGTTTCAACTACAAATTAAAGTGATCGGAAATTGTTAATTTGGCCAATTTAACGCAAAGTTCAAAATATTCCAATTTCAAAATAGGGTCCAGAATAAACAATGTAGGTATTCCTGGAACTAAACTAACATTTCCTCTGTTCATTAGTTACGTTTTGAGGCTTTACAAATAAATTCCATTTTGATTTTTTATTCACAATGAATTTTTATTCACACCAAAAAATAGAAGATTTACTGTTATGCAATACTGTAATAATTGTATAAATATCATCACCATATTTGTGAATGCATATTAGACCCACCAGCTGGCGTGTATTAGACGTGTGAGGTCGTTTGTTTACTCTTGAATATCGGCAAAAATTTAACATTTCTGCTACTTTGAGCTCAGTTTCAAGCCATTTCCAGTGCTAAAACCAATCAAAATCATCTCTACTTCTGTAATATGTCTTCCATTCTATCAAATGAGACCAAGAAATCGCAAATACAACTATAAAAAACATACAAAAAAACACTGCAAAGTCGCTGTTTTAATCGAAAAATCATGATTTCAGTTTTTTTCTCTCATTATACACAGTGTGCTGCAGGATCTGTTTTATGTGGTGCACACATACCACATAGATGTATTCTCTCATATCTAGGCCCAAATGTACCACTCACAGTTTATCAGAGCTGAGCTGAGCTCATGACGTAGATCTACAGTTTGGACCCTGAATGTAAAGCCGTAGATCTACGGGACGGACCGTGAAAGGGTTAAGAACATCCATACTTATTCATGTGCCTACTACATACACAGAACAATACACGCAAATATAAACCTTCCACTCAAACTTCTCCTCACCAACTTAAACAGGACACATGACCACAACACAAGACACAGATCTCTTTTTGATATACAGTACCTCGTGTCCATATCACACTGTGTAAAAACTCTATGCACATAAAGGGGCCTAAAATATAGAATTCATTACCAGAAGATATTAAAGTAACCCAGTCTGAAAATCAGTTTAAGACTCTTCTTAAAAGCCACTTAATCACCCTAGACTAAATGCTAAATACTCAGTACACACTTACTCACCTATGTACTCCCACATCATAACGTCAACAATCACTTTGAACCTTTTATCTATTGTTGACAGGAATATAATTGAACCATTGTTTTCACAAAAAGCATTTTAGACTATATGAATATATTCTTTGTCTTATACAAATTTAATTAACTTATAATTAATAATCTACTGTTCAACTATGAAATAATTACTATCCTACTGTACAACTATGATATAATCCTTAGTGTTAAGTAGTCTGTAAGCCAATATGTTAAGTTGGCCCATAATACCTAGGCATAATAGAGGTTCTCTTTGCATTGCAACCCACTATTGTAAATATAAAATCTCAATGTACTGTTTGCAAAGACATAAAATAAATAAATAAATAAATAAGTATTCAACATCACAAGAGCTCCAACCTTCAACATCCCAAGAGCCCAACCTTCAATATCCCAAGAACCCAACCTCCAACATCACAAGAACCCAACCTCCAATATCACAAGAACCCAACCTCCAATATCACAAGAACCCAACCTCCAACATCACAAGATCTCCAGCATTGAACATCACAAGATCCCCAAGCCTGCATCATCATAAGATCTCTAACCTTCAGCCTCAGCCCAGTAGGTTCACAGCCACTCTCTCCCCTCCAACATGTTAAGCGTCCTAAACTTGACCTAAAGGTACATATACCTGGAGGGGGTTTCGGGGGTCAACACATCTGTGGCCCAGTCTGTGACCAGGCCTCTTAGTGGATCAGGGCCTGATCAACCAGGCTGTTACTGCTGGCCACACACAAATTGACGTATGAGCTACAGCCTGGTTAGTTAGGTACTGACTTTTGGGGCCTGTCAAGCTCCTTCTTGAAGACAGCCATGAGTCTATTGGTAATCCCCCCTCATGTATGCTGGGAGGCAGTTGTACAATCTTGGGCCCCTGACACTTACTGTGTTGTCTCTTAGCATACTCATAGCACCCCTGCTTTTTATTAGGGGATGTTGCATCTCCTGATGAGTCCGTTTCCATAGGGAATGATTTTCATGTGCAGATGGGACTAGTCCCTCTAGGATTTTCCGAGTAACAAATAATGTAAAATATTTATGTAACCATCTTTTTTAGCTACATGTATTCTTTCCTTTAACTGTGTGAACCTCACTAGAGTTCAGGTATTTTCCAGAGCCTTCTCACTGGCAAAATTAAGTGGAAAAAAGTAAATTTTTTTGAAGAATTATGACAGTAAAAAAAATTTGGGTGGGGGAGATTTGAGGAACACAACCTTATTTTCCTATATGTTTATCAGTCCATTATTCACAGAAATCATTGCTAGTGCAGTTTTCAGGAACGTAACCCACACAAATTATGTCCACTGTCAAGCCAATTTTACTTTACATACATTCAAAAGTAAAGTGCAACAACACTAAGTTCAGAAATGCATTATCAAGTTATCTGCATTAAAGGTTTGAAGCCAACAGATGAGGCATTCACAACTACTACTGCATGAAAATTGGAATTTAAACTTTCCCCACTTTCATCAAAAAATTAAAAAATTGGCACACAGACAGTCCAAAATTAATCTTAAACCTTTCTTTAAGCTAGATAAACTATTATTTAAGATATGAAGCCAATAAATATGACCCAGATGTATCATACTTACATTTTAAAGTAAGCAAAAAATAGAAACTACAATTGACTGGTATACATGTCTAGATAAAACATCTGATTTAATCAAAATTGGATCATGTTATTGATAAAAAATATTTTGAAATTAAATATTCTCATCTAGATTACGATACATTCTTACTTACGTTCATATATGCAATGGCTTGTGCCTCAGAGCCTCTGACGATTGCTGAAGTGATCCTGGACCCATGTTCACGGGAACGACACCCTAAGGTGCACTCACATTCCAGTACATGACTCATTTTGCCCTAGTGCCTGGATTATAAATATATTGTAGAGCTAATCACCATACAGCAGCTATCCAGTTGGAGTAGGGCAATCTTCAAACTTTCAGTTCATCTACATATCTGGTTCAGGTCTGGCTAATGCCACACGAGTATTATTGGAAGCGTACATAACTTTCAGCAAGTTGCAAGACATACTCAATCAGCATGACACTCAGTTTTTAAATCTACAACTACAGTATTTTCAAGCTTAAAGCCAGTGGACTGAATGTATGCTTAATATCTTTTTTCCTAACTTAAAGTCATAGATAAGTCATAGACACTTGTCTACGTTACAGTAAAGTACTTTTGAGTAATTCATGAAAAATGCCTAAAGTATAATACAAGGACAATTCACAGCCATGGTTATGAAAGACAAAAATCTTACTCATTTCATCAAGTGAAAACTATATCCTCTAATACATTCACATTTGAGTAAACTCACACCAGTCTAAATCTAAATGTTTTACTTGATAAAAATATAATCACTCAAGGGATACATGTTATCCAATACACTGTACTTGTTTAAATTGCACAGTTTTGCATTGCACAGTTTTCATTTGTCTATCACTATCAAATACAATTGAAGTAAGTATTCATTAATACAATATTTTTTGCACTTTAATGGACATTGCACTTGTTTAAAGTAAATGTGGCATTTTAAAGGCCCAATCCTTTTCTGATGGTGCATGCAAGTACAGTACTGTACTATATGATAACAATACAATACTAGCTATACACACAACTTCTCTTGCAGAAAAGTTCAGCCATTGTACTAAGACAGATATGTTGGTAATGGGAAGAGCACAGGGGGAGCCATTACTCAGCTGTGGACCCCACAAGGAGGGGCCCCTTCTTTTGCTCCCCCGCTCTTAAGCAGCCATAATTGTTGAAGAGGCCTATGAAAAGAAAGAATAAAACAATTAGAATACAGTTTAAAAAACAAGGCATACCTATTATTGCTATAATGACTTAGGATGGGAGAATACCAAATTATTTGCAGATACTGATACTCAATTTTAAGCCGGTGTTGATCCCATCAAAATTAGTCAATACCCACCAATACCAATACTTTGGCACACCCCTATAATAGCATTATATTTTTAAACTTACTTTGAATGGAGACCAAAAAAGGAAAATGTACCAGACTACTGTATAGCAGTACTAACTCCTTTGTGTGTATGTCAGGTATATGCCTCAAATGTTACAGCGAGGAGGCTGGAGACTATGGAGATGTCATGTCTGAGAGCAATGTATTGTGAGAGTATTATGCAGAGAATTTGGAGCATGAATATTAGAAAATGAGTTGGAGTTAAAGTATAATTCAGAGGGTTGAGAAGGGGTTGCCGAGGTAGTTTGAATATTTAGAATATGAAGCTGAATAGAATAACTAAAGGGGTATGTAAATCTGGGGTGGAAGAAGGGGTCGGAGTTGTTTGAGAAAGGACCAGAGAGAGGAAGTAATGGAAGTTTCGAGTGCTAGGAGCTTGAGCATCCAACAGGCTTGTGTGAATGTATTAGGCTGGAGTGAATGAGACAAGAGTTTTTTGTGGCTTCATGTACAGTTGGAGGGGGAGCAAGTTAACAATTATAAGGGGATTCTGGGAAATCGGTTAGCCAGACTTGAGTTCTGGAGGTGGCAAGTACTGTACAGTGCTTGTGCTCTAAAGAAGAGGTGAAGGTGCTGCAGTTTGCAATGTCATCTAAATTGTGATGTCAGCCTGTTTCTGGCAAGACAGCGATTAAATGAAAGCTGGAGAATGCATTTTCCTTTTTTGTGGTCAACTTACTTCATTGGGAAACAGCCAGTGTTAAAAAAATTCTATCCTGCCTATTTAACACCCAAAAGAGGGTGAACCAAAGAATACAATTATAATAACTTGCTTTCCATTTGCCTATACCTATCCAGTAAAATTAAATTAAAATTAAAATTATACATTTCTTAAGAGCCATACAAATACAGTGGTTATATATTCAAAGTGATTACATTTTAAGCTTGATCTTGTAATAGAACTGACATAATTTGATACAATATAAGGCTATGAAGAAAGCCACTAATTATGCAATACTGACTCACCAAATTAAGACTTCCTACTAAAATTTTAAAGAGTGAGGATTGTACATTCCAGCTTCCAAAACTCAACATCTGGCTAGCTAGTTTTCCAGGCCACAGACATACTTCAAACATGTAAAATCCTATCAACTATTTTCCTTCACTCCCTCAAATCTAACATGCTCATATACTGTATTTATGGTGAATACCTATGCCCCTCTGCATATTTTTTTTTAACTCAACAGGGTTATCCAAAAAATGAAAACAACATTCACCATCATTCATTCAATCTCCATCTTTCCAGAAGTGTGTTGACATCACAATCAGAGTATCCTCAAACTAAAATATCCCCATGACTTCTTCAGGCTCAATCCTAGGAAGGGCAGAATAGGTCCAATTCCTTGGATCAAGAGCCCCTCACCAGTATCAAGGAGAATATCTGCATAATATTTGCAACACACGATAACAGGATATTTTTCTCTGCCTTCAGTGTTATTTCAATAAAGACCAAAATAAGCTGGCATTACATCATGAAAAAAAAAAGTACCAAAGCAGGCCTCATGGTCAATACTTGACAGAACCTAATCAGTCCCTACTACACACAGTCATTTCTCTGATATATGCCCTTTATGTTCACGCATCATTTTGTTTGTATGGGCTTGACAAAGCTCCTGGTGAGAAAAATGTAGCCACAGTGAATACTTTGTTAGCTGTACATGTACCCTTTTATGCAATGTATAGTCTCTGCAAGAAAAATGTTTGACCAAAAATCTTTGGAAAAGAATGAATAAGGTGCCCCAAGGCCTGGTGGCAAAACCTCTCACTTCACACAGTGAGGGTCCGGGTTCGATTCCTGGCGAGGGTAGAAACATTGGGCGGGTCTCCTTACACCGGTTGTCTATGTTCCCCATCAGTAAAATAGGTACCTGGGTTTTAGTTGATTGGTGTGGGTCACATCCCGAGACAAAATTGACCTAATATGTCCGAAATGTCATTGATGTCAGCTAGGCCTGTATACCTTGTACATGTACTTGTAGAAATACAGTGGAACCTCGGTTTTTGTATGCCCCAGTTTTTATAGGATTCAGTTTTCGACATTTCTCATCAAAATTTCGTCCCAATTTTCGTACATCCGCTTGGTTTTCGTATAGTTGAAAATGGTCTGCACCAAACACATCCTTGTGACTCAGCCATTCAAGCGCCCACACAAGGCATCCCATGCATTTGTGACTCAGTCTGCCTTTGTTTCTCAGTGAGTGAGCATCGCCCTGGGCGTTCATCTGAAATATTTCATAATAATCCTTTTTTCTTTGTGCTTGTTTATTGAATGCGTCTGCTAAATGAGCCACCATGGGGCCAAAGAAAGTTCCGTGTGCTAGCCCTTTGATAAAGAAGGCAAGAAAGACGATAGAGTTCAAGAAAGAACTCGTAGCAAAGTACGAAAGTGGTGTACATGTGGCCAATCTCAACAGGATATACGGGAAGTACAGTGGACCCCCAACTTGCAATATTAATCCGTTCCAGAGAGCACATTGTAAGACGAAATTATCGTAAGTCGAATTAATTTTCCCCATAAGAAATAATGGAAATCAAATTAATCTGTTGACTTTGAGCGAGGCACTGCATCACTTGCCCGAGACTTTCACCCATACTGACTATGTGAAGAGAGGCGAATGTGTGTGCTCAGTTACCCCTGCTGTTCTCCTGTATCCCCCAACTCTCCGCCTTTATACTCAGCCGTTCGCCTCTATCAACGTGCAGTGTAGAGGTGTATTTTGCTGCTCCGCTGATACTCGAATATCTGAGTTCTGCACAGCTAGTCACCTCTGCCTACCTGAGAAATACGGACGAATCTCCCATCCTGCGTGAGTTGGTGATCCAGACCTGACTGTGCCACTTGTACAAAATGTGTTATATCTCTAACTGAGGAAGATGACCTTTTATTCTTCTATGCACTGAGTGTTTCTGGGAGGAATGCTGCATAGTTGGAACACAAGAGTGGTTAAGAACAATTTAACGAGCATTGTAGTACCTGGTAACTCCTTTCCGAGACGGCTTTTTAACTGTAACATGCCAGAGGTTCATCTATAAACATAGTAAGTTTGTGCTGATTTGTTTGTCCACAGAGTGAAAATTTGTCTGTCATTCCAAGACACGCGTGCTAAATGTGTTAAGTGCTGCAGGTCTGGAGTAATTAACGAGTAGTACAGTGTTGGTAACTCACGAGATGACTGTGGGCCCAGTGAATGACCTTGAAAATGGCACTGCGACCCGCAGGCCACTACACCCATATTGTCTGTGTCTAGCGAGGTGAATATCCCTTCCTTGTCCCTTCTCTCTTATGGAATAAAGGTGGTTTCGCTGACCCAAGAGTAACAGACTAACTCTTCCACTTCAAGCAGCTGAACTAGAAGTGACCTATGGATGTGAACGAAGTAAATGATGGTGAAGGCAAATTCGAACGTTTTAGAAGTAAGGGAGCTTTGAAAAAAGAAAGAGGATTTCAAAGGAGGCTTGCTGCAAGAAACAAGAGCAACAACAACCATCGCAGAACGGTTAGGCTTGATTTCCCCGCTAACACTGAGTTTGAGGTCAAGTTTAGACGGTTTTACGAAGCTACACTAGACAACCCAGAGGAAAACCTTCGGATTCGCTTTCGTCATGACGAGGATAATTACGTTTTTGTTACTAACGACCCAGCATTCATAGAAAAACTTCTTACTCATAAATATGTTAACATCCAACTCCAAGCTGCCCCACCAAGATCACCCAAAGTGCTTATTGTTATCCACAATGTCAATAAGTACTTGGATCCTAAATTCCTGTTGTCAGATCAAGTTGCAAACCCTCGTCGACTTCCAAATGATCTGATATTGGCTGAGTGGATTGGCCAAGGAACTCCACCATCATATATCTACTCTTGTGCTGTGCTTAACAGGAGTTACAAAATAGCTTTGTACAAACCACCTCACCGCAGATGCTACAAGTGTCAGCGCTGGGGTCACATTGCTTGGAAATGCCCAGCTAAGTCACACTGGTGTGCAGTGTGTGCCAAGGCCCATCCTTCTCACCAGTGCTATGATATGATCAAGAAACACCAGTCCATTGCATTACAATGTATCAATTGTAAGACTCCAGGAGCCACAGCTGCTCATGCTGACTGCAGAGTGAAAGCTGCCCACATCGCCAGCCACCAGCCTCACTCATCACCCCCCATGATGAGGCAGTAGGCCTACCAGATACTTCATGTCTGAATATTGACCCATGCCTGATTTCAGACAATGTGGTTGAGCGAGTCATTCTGGGAGTACATAAACAGAGCACCATCACGTCTGCTATCAACACTAGTAATGCTGCTGGTGTTGACACCACCTGTTTGGCTGAATCAGCTGTCAGTCAGCCACCTGGCTCAGCTGACCGGGACTTCATACCTCCAGATGAAGCTAGTCTTGCTGGGGTGGTACACAACATGCAGCTGTGCATAACAGTACTGGAGAAGCAACAATGGTGTTTGAAACAACAACTTGAGCACCACAAGGAAAAACTTACAGAGGTTGCAAGTGAGTACATCAACCCACAGACTGTCAGCCATTATGAAAATGAGTGTGGTGATGATGAACAAACTGATGATTGCAGTGGTGTTAATAATTACAAAAATGATGAATCTGATAGTGGTGTTTACAATCACAGTGAAGATGATAAGGGCAGTGAAGACCATCATGATAGTCAAAATGATGAGTGCAATGTATTGATAGATACTGAGTGTGGAGAGGACCCGGTTGTCGATAATGGTGTATGTATCACTGGTCATAATGATGAGGGAAGTGGTACATGTGATGATAGTGATGAGTGTAATAAAAGTGG